ATCTCCGTCTGTGCCCCATATTGTCCTCCTTGGCTTTCATCACCCTCTAAAACTTCCCATCAAAGACTTTACAGGGGCACGTTAGCCTTATGGACATTGTCTTGAGTAATTATTTGGATATATGTAGGTGAAGAATGTGGAAATGCCTGTGGGGTGAATAGGCTCCACATACTTCCCAAGTGAAAGTCCAGACTCTGGCCAGCACACAGACATGTTTCCACTTAACTGTGGCGGCTCACCAACTTTCTGCACAAGAGGGGAAACTGAGCTGTTTGTTGCAAAGATCCGCATCTTCAGTTTTATTGGTCTGTGAGGCATGTTCAGTTCTGTGGCAGGGGTTCTGCCTACTTGAAAGTGGGCATGGTGAACCAGGAGAATAGTTTCTGTACTCAAGAGGCTGAAGTGGGAGCATCACAAGTCCAAGCCAGCTTGGGCTACATGGTGACCCTGTCTCAAAAAACAAACAGAAAAGTAGGTGTAGGAAGCATGAGGTGGTTCTCTGTGGTTGGATAGTCAGCATGATATGCCAGATCTAAAATGCACCACTTTGCTACCACTCTTCAAGGCTCAGAAAAATGCTTTGACTTGTTAACAGAGACTTTTAGGAAGAAACACAGCCCACAGTTAGTGAATGCCTGCCACATGCCAGCACTGTGCTGCTAAATGCATTCATTCATTTGTTCATTCATCCCCACTGTAAATCATATGAAGATTATCTATAACCAGAGAAGCAAGTTCAAAGTGATAGACTTGTTCAAGGTCACATGGCTAGTGAGTGATAGGTGTGAAGGTGTTTCCAGAGACTGTGCCTTTCTGAGCTACATTAATCCTTCTTGGAATCCTGAGCCCATGGGGCTATCTTTAGTCCCTCACCTGGTGTCAAGTAGAAATCTTTCCAAAGTTAGTGCATTCCAAGTAAAGGACACATTGTGTTGCTGAAGGCAATTAATTCCATCCTAAGACAATTCGTACCATGAGGAAATTCTTACCCCTCTGTTCTAGTCTGCTGTCGATTATTGTGACAAAACACTCTGACCAAAACCAACTTGGGGAGGAAACAGTTTATTTTATCTTACATCACCTGGGTCACAGTTCATCACTGAGGGAGCCCAAGGTATGAACTCGGGGCAGGAACCTGAAGGCAGGAGCTGAAGCAACAGGCCATAGAGGAATGCTGCTTGCTAGCTTGGTTCCTTGGCCCATTCTCAAGACTGCTTTCCTTTTCTTTTTACTTTACTTTTCTTTTTTTTGTCTCTTCTACCTCCTGAGTGCTGGGACTAAAGGCATGCGCTACCACACCTGGCAAGACTGCTTTCTTATACAATACAGGACCACCTGCCCAGAGTGGCACTGCCCACAAGTGGGCTGGGCCTGTCCAGATCACTCAACAATCAAGAAAATGCCCCACAGACATGACTACAGACCAGTTCAATGGACACAATTCCTCAATTGAGGCTCCATCTACCCAGTGTGTCAAGTTGATAACTAAAGTTATCCAGTATACCTCTTTTTTATTTTTGGTGGTAGTAAGGATTGAACTTGGGGCCTCAGGTGTGCTAAGCAAGTGTTATACCACTGAGCCCAAATCCTACCTATTTTGAGTCTGAATCAGTGTTCTCTAACTCCCACCTAGCCATTGGTTATGGCTTTAACTCTGGAGGCCGAAGAGAAGAATTCCCTTCTCCTCTGACAGCCTTTCCTGACCACCTCACCATGATAATCAGACTTCAGTTACAAGACAAAAACCACACAAAAATTTCAACAGGAAAAATTCACTACAAAGAATGGTGAACTAGTAACAGGATTTGTCTGTTACAGTAAAGAGAACATGACAAGTTGTGAACTTGGGAGGCCAGATCCCCAGCTGGGTCTGAGAGTCACTTTGTTGAAGGGTTAGGGCTGTGGCCACTAGGTGATGAAGCATGCTTTGAGTACCACAGGCCAAGGTGATAGCAGGAAACCAACTACCCACTCCATACCCCCAGAATTCAATAGGACTCTGCCTGAGGGTGCTGCTGAACCTACTGGGAAACTATCTGGGGCATCAATAGAGCTCACCTGGAACCAGCCCTGTGGAGAACATTGGCTGAGCCGCAGCTCTCACTTCCACAGGAGCCAAGGGAAGCCACCTCCAGGACTGCCACTCACACTTGCTACCTGCCTGCTAGCTGCCTGCTGCAAGAACAGTGCAGGAGGCATGGCAGAACCAGAAATGTTCCCTTCCTACAACTGTGAGCCTCCAGTGCCCTCTCCTGACAGAGCATGACATGGTGCCAGCGGGCAAAGGCAGTGAGTTCACAGGGCCCCAACTCTAGCACAACTGAATCTGAAGCTGTGAGGCAGAAACCTAACCTACATGGTAATTTCTTTAAGCCTTCTCCACACATCCCGGATTCAGATGCCTATGCTCTCCTCCATGCTCCTTCCAAATGGCTGGCTGTGTTTGCGGGTTCTTGTTGTATGTCGTAGCGTGTAAGTGTAAACACGAAATCTAACACAGCAATTCTCAATTCGTGAATTGGGCACTCTGGGCATCCCTAAGACTCTCCCAGGGAGTCTGGGAGGATGAAATTATTTTCATAGTAAGTCGTTCTTTCCCTTTCCCATCTTCTGTTCTTTCACAAGGGGGTGGTGGAGTTTGCCACAACCTGCACAGCATGAGATGACATTGCCACTCTGCAGGCTAATGCAATGGGTTTGTGTTTTAGAATTTCCTGTTTTAATTTCTAATACAGTGAATACTGAGTGTGTATTTGTATATGTACATTTGTATGAATATGTATATATTATACATGAATTTATATAAAATTAAATTAAATTCCTTTGAGATTCTTGATATTTCTAAGAACACTAGGCCAGAAAGTTTGAGAACTATTTTTTGGTCTAGTAACTAAGGCTATACCCTTCTTTATTTTAGATATTTACTCACGGTTTATAAGGACCTGAGAACTAGTAGATATGCAACAGGGATTTTATTTAGCTGAAATAGGGAGTGTGATACCAGTGAGAATTGGATTCTTGAACCTTCAGAGTTTTAGCCCAGATTTAGAGAAACAAGTTCCTGAAGCTGCTGTGGATTATGGTACAGATCATGTTTGTTCTTTGATACTCAACAGACTTAATTACTAGCCTTACCACTTATTGCCTGTGTCCACTGGACTATTTAATTAGTATATCTGAGCTATGTAATACTGCTGTGGACGTGATGTTTGATCATAGAGGGTCATTGGGAGTACTAAAGGATAATGCATCTCTAAAGGGACTGGCATATACTGACTGAGCAATGAAGGACCCCTGCTCTGCTGATTCCTGAGAAGGGACTTCCTTAAGAATTCAGAGAGGAAGACCAGAGAGATAGCTCAGTGGTTAAGAGCACTGGCTGCTCTTCCAGAGGACCTGGGTTTGGTTCCCAGTACTCACAGGACAGCTTAAAACCATCTATAACTCCAGTTCTAAGGGATCCAACATCCTCTACTGGTCTCTGCAAGCATTGTACACACAGGTGCACTTACATATTTGCAGACAGAACACTCTTACACATAAAATAAAAATAAATAAATAAATAAATAATATTTTTTAAAAAAGAACTCAGAGAGGGCTGGCTAGATGGCTCAGTGGGTAAAGGTACTGGGCACACACCTGACAATCTGAATGATTCCTGGATTCCACATATGCACTGGCAAGGTACACGCATGCACATACATACACATGCACACGCACACACAACACACACATGGAAGAAAAGAAGGAAGGAAAACCAAGAGGCTCTTAGAAAATGCAGAGCTCTCATTTGCATGCCCATGCATTTATCCCCCAAATACTGGTTGATAAGGTGCCAGGAATGAAACTAGAATTAACTGTTGTCGCCCTTTAAAAGATTGGCCCAGAAGATAGTCTCTTTGGGTTTGATCCTTTCCTAACCACTTTATGTTCTGTGCCACAGGCTTATTTAAAATTGTGTCTTCCTTAACTATGGGATCTCTCTGTTACATACAGGCCCTTTCTAAGTACATTACATGGTTGTAGTACATTATAATGTGCAGACGTCAGATATTCAACCTTTGGTCAGCTAGACTGCCTTTTTGCTTTGACTTTCCCTCTGCTTTGCATTTCTTTCAGTTTGGTAATTTTGGAATAGCTGAGATTGCATCTCACAGTTGCATGAAGGAGTTTTTGGAAGCAGCACTATATTTAACTTTCCTGTTCTCACTTGACAAACGAATTGTGCTCTGGGTCTGTGTATATCCATACTGTACTGACAAAGAATTGACTGCATACTCTGCTAAATGCAGAATTTAAAATAGCAACCCATGTGTTTGAATTGCTCTATTCATTTTACAGTAGAGTGGGGAAAACAAGTCAGACAAGTCATGCGTTGTTGTTTCTTCAGCCCACTAGAAAATCCCACGTAATCAGACCTAGAAATCTGATACTTGCTCTGTTAATTGACCATGTGGAGAAACCAAACCTGGTGATTCAGGGAGGAGAGGATCAAGTGTTGTTAGGAAGGCTATACTCAGCCGGGGACACTCGCTGTGCTCCGTAAGTTCAGTTCCACCCACTGGCTGTCCATGGTGGCAGGAGACCATGTCACAGGTGAATGTGTCACAGGCATCCCCAGGCAGGGGCTGCATATCCTAGCAGACCTTTAGGCAGGCTTTGAACTGGGCACACCAGCAGAAAAGGAGTCTGCAGAGTGTCTACCAGGTGAGATAAGTTCTGGTAGGAAAGCCAAATTCTGAGACCACAGTGATCTAGACTCTGTCATTGTGATCCCAGGCATGTCTTTTTGCTTCTCTGCATCTCTGTTGTGAGTTGAAATCAACTGAGAACTGGTAATGCCATAACAGTTTAGAGAGAGTGGCACATTAGTCAGGACCTTCTGACCCAGCTCTGTACTTGCATCACTTCCCCTCTCTGTGATGGGACAGGATGCTCATACCCCTGACTCCTCACCAAGCTAGGCAAGTGGTAAGGACCTTATTTTATTTTTCTTCCAGAGTCTCTGTGGCCCAAAATCCGAGTTCCTTTGAAAGTTGTGAGGACTGCTGAAAACAAGCTGAGTAACCGTTTCTTCCCTTATGATGAAATTGAGACAGAAGCTGTCCTGGCCATTGATGATGACATTATCATGCTGACCTCCGATGAGCTGCAGTTTGGTTATGAGGTAAGGAACTCTTCAGCCATTCACTTAAAGACTGAGTCCCTGCTGGTCTTTCCTGAAGGAAAGAACATTCTCTTCTATTCTCTAGAGTCATAATTGCTAAACTGCCTGGATGAGTACCTGTGAGTGGGTTATGAAGCTGTTCTTTAAACTAAGGGAGCCCAGTTCCCCAATGACATTGTGGCCTCCCCTGATTGGAAGTTCCTAAGGAGAATCCAGGGGATATTTTCTAAAGTGTGATGATGTATTCTATCAGCATTTTCCTGCCTCGAGCCACCAGGCTCTGCAACTTGCTGTCAGTCCTACATGGACAGGCTCGCTGCCTGTCTTTAGAGAGGAGCAGATTTTGTCACTGCTCCCTTGGGGCCACTGATGGATTAGGCTGGGTTCAGGGTCAAGCGTGGAAACCAGTAAAAGTCTCATTTGGGGGAAAGTACCAGAGCCCCGATGGCAAGCAGCAGTAGGAGCTGATGATGCCTGTCAGGGAGGATGTGCTTGCATTGCATGCCAGTAACAGCAGAGGCCCGGTAGAGTGGACAAATCACAGCTTTGGCTGGCACGGGGCACAGTGGTGAGAGTTATCCCATAATCATCCTGCCTTTGAGGGAAAGGAACCATTTTCTTTAGTTTCCTCAGGTTTTGTTGAATTTGGAGTTCTAAAGAAATGAAAATTTATTCAATGCAGACATACTTTTGCATGTTTTTTATAGAATCTTATTTTCTTTTTAAAAAATTATTTTATGTATTTGAGTGTTTTTACCTGCATGTATGTAGGTGCACCATATGTGTGCAGTGCCCACAGAGGTCAAGAAGAGAGTGTCAGATTCCCTGGAAATGGAGTTATGGTTGGTTGGTAGCTGCCATGTAGCTGGGAACCAAATCCTGGTCCTCCGTAAGAGCAGTCAGTGTTCTTAACTGCTGAGTCATCTCTCCAGCCCCTAGAAATTTATTTTCAAATCCTTAAAGGTGGTTCTTAAGGGGGAAGAAAGGAACCTGTACACATACCACAAAAATTAAAAGCTTAATTAAGTTCTCCATGTTGTATTATTTTAAAATATAACCCCTGTGCCGGATAGCTTTAGTGTCAGTTTGGCACACCTGGGTTGAGGGAACCTCAGTTGGGGAATTTCCCCCATTGAACTGCCCTGTGGCCAGTCTGTGGGGTATCTTCTTGATTATTGAATGATGTGGGAGGGCCCAGCCCATTGTGGGTGGTGCCACCCCTAGGCAGGTGGGCCTGTGTTACATAAGAAAGCAGGCTGAGCAGGGGTGGGGAGCAAGTCAGTAAGCAGCGATCCTCCATGGCCTGTGCTCCAGCTCCTGCCTCCAGGTTCCTGCCCTTGGGCTCCCTGATGAACTGTGACCCAGGAGATATAAGACAAATAAACCCTTTCCTCCCCAAGTTGGTATTGGTCAGAGTATTTTGTCACAGCAATGGAGAAACAAACTAGGACAACCCCCATTTGAGTGTGACAGAAAGCTGTTGTGGATTGCATTGACATGCGATGATGCCCTTGTCAGGTGTTTGGCCAGTGAAAGGCAAGGGAGTGACGATGAAGCAGGCTTCATCTCCTGGATTTGCTTTCATTCTTAGGTGATTTAAATCTTCACACCTAGGATACAGGTAGGTTTGCCAGACCATTATTCCTGCTTTTGAAGAAAGCCCCTTGACAACTGTTTCTCTAGCCAAGCTATGGGAGAAAAGGACTTTTTCCTGCCAGTCTCTCTTCATTGGGTACAGTGATTTCAAACTGTGCCTGTTTGTTAGCTTTTGTGGCAAAGTGAAATAGGAACAAGATTGCTCAGAGATGTGGCCAAGGAGGACATAGTGTGGCCTGCTCAGTGTTTCTGGTTGCTGTGAAGGAAGTCTAATAAAGAAAGCTTGAGCTAAATGTGCTCCTGAGATCTCTCTCAGCCTTGAGATGAAATCTGGTCTTAACTTATTCTTACATAAAATGGCAATGAAAGTTCCCCTTCCCAGGATAACCTTGCACAGTGCCTGCTACATAGCGCTCAGGAAGCACTTGGCAGATACCATGCTGGTTATTGTACTCAACCATGAGTGCATCTGTGATTCTTCTGGGGTTTTGTTGATCGGCATGTTCCTCTGGAAGAGGGTGCTCAGTTGAGTGGATTCAGAGGACAAGAGGATGGTGCTTCTGATTCTTGTCTCATATTCTAAAGCCTGGAATTAATTTTCATGTAGCAGTCAGGAACAGTCCTGACTAAATAAGTCAGTCAATAAAAATTTGCATCTTAGGGGAATTCTATTGGAGCCTGGGACCATTTCTTTGTGGCATTGACCAGAATCTGCTAGAATTATTATTTTGTGAATTCTGACTCTTCCTTTTATACCAACTCAGATATTGCCATGTCAATGAAACTTTCTCACAGTCCCCAGGCTAGAGGAGGTTCACAGCATTCTGCACCTCTTGGTTAGCAAGTAATGAATTGGGAGCGATGCTGTTTAGTGTTCAACTTTTCTTCTAGGATGTAAGCACCATGGTGGGAGCGCTGTCTGTCTCATGCTGTGCCACACTCTCCATGCCTAACCCAGTTCATTGCACTCAGCAGTTACTCAGTGCTGCTTGATGAATGGATAGTGTCCACTGCCAGAATGCACATGCAAGATCAGGAATAGATTCTTTTAGCCTTCTCTATAGTGATTCATAACTAGATGCAACTATTTTGTAAAACAGAATTTAAAGTGTCAAACATGTTTTAGCCCAATTTTTGTTATTATAACAAAATACCTTAGACTGAATGACTTTGTTGATTGATCAATTGAAATTTATTTTTTTAGATAGATCTCATGTAGTAGCTCAGGCTAACCTTAAACTCAGTATATTGTGGAGGGTGACCTTGAACTTCTGATCCTCCTGCCTTTACCTCCAGAGTGCTGGCTTGGTGACTTCATAAAGAAAAGCTGATTTAGCTCACAGTTCTGGAGACTCAAGGGCAAGGCACCATCATTAGCCTGCCTCTGGCAAGGGCCTTGTGATTGATGCTACAGCGAGAGGAGTTTGTTCAGGAAGGGAGATCACTTGTCAAAACAGAAAGTCAAAGAGCAGGTCATGGGTCAGGACATCTTATGACTATTCATCTTCACAGAGCTCTGGGGACCCACGAGAGCTCCTTTAATCCCTTCTGATGATCATGGCCCTGTGACCTGAAGACCTCCCACTAGGCCCCATCCCTTAAAGTTTTCATATAACCTCCACCCCATTAAATTGAGGACCAAGACTTCGCCATGTGAACTGTTAGGGGACAAACCACATCCAAACCACTGCAGCATTTGCTGTATTACTAGCCATTCCTCTGTTCAGATTTAACCCACAGCAGTACAAATACATGTCTACACAAATGCCTATATACTGATAGTCATATCAATTCTTGTTTATTATAGCCAAAAACTGAAGGGAAATAAAACCAGTGTCCGTCACATGGTCCAATGGATAAACAAATGCAGTAGAATATGACTCAGCTTGTGTATATATAGAGAGGATTTGTTTGGAGGGGTGAGGGTATAGTGCTGGCAATCAAACCCAGGGCCTTTTGCCTGTCAGGCAAGCATACCTAACCTCTCACCCTTAAATAAGAATGAACTACTGATATGTGCAACAATGTGGGTTTTTTCACCATAATTTTGTTGAGTTAATGGAACAAGATGAGGAAGAGAGCATGGTTTATTTATGAGTCCACATGTGCAAAATTCTAGATAATGCAGTGTGGTGACAGAAAGATCAGTGGCTGCCTGTCTGTACTCCCCAGTGCTGGGGTTGCAGGCATGTGCACCTAGCTTTCTTATGTGGGTGTTGGGGTTTGACCACAGGTCTTCATGCTTGGCACAGCAGACACACTTATCCACTGAGCCATCTTCTCATCCCCAAGTTATAAAATTTAAATGGAAAGCCAGACTATTTTTGACAAAGAACAAAGTTACAGGACTTGGACAATCTTATTTTAAGACTTACTGTTTTAAGACTTACTAAATAAAAATAGGAAATAAAATATAATATTGTGAAGTCACAGCAATCAAGACACAGTGCTATCAGTCTAAATTTAGGCACATAGGTCAGTGAGACAGAATTACGAGTGCAGAGATAGGCACTGTTTTGTGAACCTTTCTTGGGGAGACAAACATCTACTCACCCCAGATAAAGCCTCAATGGCAGACTAAAATAATTCCACTCGAGTCTATCTTGGTGAACCAATGTGTTTCCTTAGGGTTACTGTACTAAACTTATATGGGCAACTGACCAGCACTACACCACTGAAAAAAAAATGTCTCTGCCCTAGTGCTACTGCCTGCCCATCGTTGGGGAGAGAAAGGGCTTTGTGAGTCCATCTCCCCCTCCATGATGGAATATTAATGGGTCTAATCTTGTGCAGGTCTTATGTGTGAAAAAGGTAATGACCATGTCATGCCCAGAAGACAGCATTCCGCAATACATATGTATGGCCAGGTAATTTTCAACAAGAGACCCAAGTCAGTTCAATACAGATGATAGGACTTTTCACCAAATGAGTAACAATGTATTATACAAACTTTTTTTAAAATGATGCTTATGGGGATAGAGAGCTGGCTCAGTGGTTAAGAGCACAAAGGACCCGGGTTCAGTTCCCAATACCTGCATGACTGCTAACAACCATCCATAACCCTAGTTCCAGGGGATCAGATGCCCTCTTCTGACCTCTGTGGGCATTGCATGACACAGGTGCACTTGTATACATGCAGGCAGTATACTCATACACATAAAATAATAATAGATAAAATATTAAAAATAAAATGAAGCTTATTTCATACTATGCATAAAATTTTAACTCAAAGCTGGGTATGGTAACATACACCTGTAATCACAGCACTTGGCTGTGAGGCACAATGGTTCAGGTTTGAGGTCAGCTTGGGCTATGTAGTGAGTTCCTGAGCTACATTGTATGCCCCCGCCCCATCTCAAAAAATAGATAAATAAGGGGCTGGAAATATGGCTCAGTGGTTAAAA